GCACTCATTCAGAATCGCCCTTCTCCTTTAACTTTCAATGATGTCCTATGAATAGGTCCGTTGCCTGAAACGTCGTTTAATGTTACTTTTAAGCTCCACGCAGTGTTTGACGAACGCGTTGAGTTACTTTGTGACAGCGAGAGAACGTCCCACATGAACCGTCAGTGCGCACCGCGCATTCGTGCGTTTGATTGCCCTTTGATGCTCGTGGGTGTTTTGCCTTGCCTCTGTTCTTGGCTCTGTATCAATGTGTTTCACATTGTATTTAAACGTAAACCGTGTAAGATGTAGATTGTAACGTTTTTATTTGGAGTGATTAGATGTTAACTCCCTCGCCTGGTCTGCAGGAGGTCGTGGATTCGATCCCGACCTCGACGCCTGCTGCATATTAGGAGTTTGCGTGTCTCTCTTTCTCACTGGGGTCGTTTATTCCCTCCACATTTACAATCAACATCACGCGTTTAGAGTATTAAGCTACTGCTATACATTTCCACATGATGATAAGCCACTTCGTTGAGCTATCATCTGTGATGGCCAGATCGTTTCTGAAAAAGAGCTACATTGTTCAGTGTGCCTTACCTGGTGAAATATAACAAAATATAGTCCACAGTAAACTTATTGATGTTTTTACGCATGTGTCACTTGACACCTTGGACACCCTTGCGAATGAGAAGTTCAATCGAGCGACTTTCCAGGTAAAATATTTTAACCATCAACATCCTGGGGGTTCACAATATCGGAGATGAACAAGGAAGCCAACATTACTTAGCACGAGGTTACAAACCTCACGAGACACTCCGTGAAGTGGTCAAGGTCACAGACACGAGCTTCGTATCACGCAGCTGTCTAGACGCAACGTGAGACACGTTACACGGTCGGCTTTGACCACTTCCAGACGGGAGCCAGGTCCACTCGCTACGCTCTCAGTGGGAGCTGCGCTCGCCACGACTCTCAGTGGCTTCTCACCAATAGCAGCTCGCTGTGGCTGAGAGACGCTGTCCCAGGAGCGCACACGGCGGCGACGAACCAAGACACGAATCGACTCTCACCTGCGTAGACAGGAGCGTTGCATTCACACCGCGGTGTTGGAGTTAACGGGTCGCGATTTTTACAAAACCCAGAGTGGCCAGGCAAACGGTGGTTTGTCCCTTGGACTGATTTCGTCGGCTATGGTGAGGCTGTGGGTTTCTGCACCAAACTGTATCTTGTAACATTCCTATTAAAGGTTATTTTTTAAAAGTATGTCGTCTCTATCATTGCCATTTATTTCAAATCAAGATTGCCATTTATTTGTTCATGATTTATTTAAGTATGATAGTTAAAATTGTCTTTTAAAATATTAAACTTCATATTGTTAATTGTTTGACAAATTTTCTCCCAACTTCAAGTGTAAATGAGTGGGGGATCAGGTGGGAGGATAGGAGGGTGATCGTGTGGGTGGTTGAGCAGGTGTGTGTATGTAGGTGGAGATTGGTGTTGCAGTGGTTAGTGCGCTGTGCTATGAACCTGCCGATCCAAGTTCAATTCCCACTCATGGCCACCAACACCAATGACCATTGTCTGAACTGGTCATGAGCCTCCCTGAGGTCGATTCAGCCTCAAATGAGTACCTGGTGTGGAGTATAAATATCACCACTCGGGAGACAAAGGCGGCCAGGCTTGGTGCTGGCCACCCACCCACTCGTGTGCCATGCTGGCATTCATAGATGCTCGCTAACAGCACTTGCCCAACAGTCTGTTCAGGCTATATGGGGGATCTTTGTCTTTGTGCGGGTGGGTGAGTGAACGGGGTTGCAGGTGGTCAGGTGGGAGAGAGATCAGACGGGAATGGGCGCTTGAAAATGCATGAGGTGGGCAGGTGGGAGGGTGGCAGGATTGGCAGGTATATGGCCGAGCAGGTGTGAGTGTGGGCAGGTGGGAGGGAGGGTCTCTGTAGACGGCTGAGGGGTTGTAGGCTAGGGAGTGGCAGGTGTCAGGTCGGAGTGTGTTGGGTGCAGGTGAGTGGGTGGTGGTCATCATTACCAAGTGTAGTCATTATCATCATCTTGCTCTTCATCATCATCCATCAGTCAGGATCCATTCATCATCATAGCTCATGATGACGAGGAACAAGCAAACTGACAGTGCAGCAAAAAATAACACGAGATGCGCCATGGAATGTGGCCCAAGGCTACAGACAGCACTTACCTGTGAAGGCGTAAGCTGAAGATTTACTAACCGTGCCCGGGTTTAATCTCGGATAATATAACATCCATAAAACAAAACAACAGTAACCATCCCAAAAATACATGTTTACACAAGTCAGTCTCACCTATGAGAGAGTCACATTCACAGCCTGGATGACAATCTTGACAATAGAATTTCAGATTTTATTTTTTATTCACCTAGAACACATTGACCCTTGACCCACAATACAATGTGATTACAATTCACAGGTAACCCAGAACACAATCAAGTCTATGTATATTTACACGATCTAACCCAATAAACCTTTATCATTGATAATATTGGTCGCGAAAGCCTACGTGTTAAAGTCGATTTGTTTAACCAGGTGAGAACTCAAGAAACCAGGATGAGTCTCGGTTGCAAAAGTGATGATAATGATGCTGGTTCTGCTGCTGATGATGATTCTGTTACTGCTGATAATGATTCCATTATTATTGATGTTACTGGTTCTACTCCTGATGCTGATGATGATTATGATGGAGCTACTGCTGTTGATGCTGTTGCTCCTGTTATTAATTCTGCTGCTGATGATACTTCTGCTGATGATTGAGTCGAGTTAAATTTAACGAGGTGAGAACTCAGGAGATCAGGATGAGTCTCATTGACAAGAGTGACCTGGGTCACAAAAACAAAAAAAAAGTCAAACCCATGCCAGCAATGAAGCAAGTAGAAATCTCACCCACATCCCAGAGCACAATGCGATTCGCGTTCACATAATTACACAACTGGTACGATATAATCAACGCGTCTCAAATCTTCTACGCGTTGCTAAACAGCCTGAGACTCGAGGTTGGGTTCACACCGGATTTGTGTCTCATGTTCAAGAGGGGCGCTGCGGTGGCTCGGAGATGTAAACTCCCTCGCCTGGTATGCAAGAGGTCATTGGTTGGATTCCGACCCTGACAGTTGCTGGAAATTTGGAGTTTGTGTTGTCTCTATCTCTGTAATAACACAAAGTGTCTTTGTGTTATTAATGCGTGTTGAGACAATGTTAGTCGTGTCGTATTGTAAGGTAGATCCTCACTCTAGATATATATCAGGCGCTTAATAACTTTAACCCACTTCAAAGTCAAAACACAGTTCCCATTGTTGTCAGCAGAAGCGTTATCCCATAAATCGAAGGTTGTGGCTTCAGGTCCAAAAGTCTGACAGCAGATAATGAAAATATTAATCAAAACAAACCTTTACGAATAATATTAGTGACGAAAGACGTCCTACTACTACTATGTGTTAAATGGCTTCTCTCTCTATGCCCTGTAAAATAAAACTAGTTTGAGTGGGGGGGGGGGGGTCATTCGACCCCTGGTTATAACAAAAATGTTTTATCCCAGCGACGCTCAGCACACACCACGAGTAGTTCCCCCCCCCTAGTGATGCCATCCCATTCCCACCCCGGGTTTATCGCCCAACGAGTGAGTGACCGCGAGGGGGACGGCGCGCGTCACCCCGCAGCGTCACGTGACGCGTGTTCCCAGCACGCCCGCGGTGGAGCTCCGCCCTCTCGGCGTTGAGCGCCACGCGGCGCGAGGTGCGAGGGACGATGACGTCAGAGAGAAGCTTGGCTCCCCCCGCCCTCCCCCACCAGTGCGCTAACCACTGCACCACCACTCCACCCCACACTACGCACATGCACCTCTATAAAAAGACAAAAATCCCCCGCGTAGCCTTAACAGACTGTTAGGGAAAGTTCTGTAAATAGCGAGTAACAACTATGAAGGCCGGCACTGTTACACACGAGGGGGTGGGTGGCAAGCACCATGTCTAGACACACACAAAGACAGACAGACACACAAAGACACAGACACAATGACACAGATACAATAACACAGCCACAATAACACAGACACGAAGACACAGAGACAATAACAAAGACACACACAGACAAGACGACAAAGGCACAATAACAAAGACACAGAAAGGCATAAACACACCAACCCACTCACCCACACAAATATCCCCCGTATATCCTTCACAGACTTTAGGAGAAAGTGCTGTTAGCGACCACCTATGAAGGCTGGCACAGCACACAAGGGGGTGGATGGCCAACACCACGACTGACCCGCCTTTGTCTCCCCAGTGGTAACGTTGACACACCGCACCAGAAACTCATTTGAGGCTGAGTCGACCCTAGGGGAGACACAGGACCGAATCGGATAATCGTCAATAGTGTTGGTGAACGGGTCATGGGCCTCCCCTAGGTCGACTCAGCCTCAAATGTGTTCCTGGTGCGGTGTGTCAACGTTACCACTGGGGAGACAAAGTCGGGTCAGTCGTCGTGTTGGTCACCCACTCCCTCGAATGACGTGCCAGCCTTCTTAGGCGTTTGCTAACAGCGCTTGCCCCAACAGTTTGTTAAGGCTACACGGGGTAAATGTGTCTTTGTGTGCGTGAGTCTGTGCGTTGTGCCCGTTTCTCTGCGCTGCTCACTCTCGGTGCTCTCAAGACGCACGACTCAGATCCAGAATCCTCACTGAGTCACCACCACCCACACTCAGTGCGGGGTAGAGCGGTTGACTAAACGAGTGGTGGATGGAGTGCAGCAGCTCCATGGAGTCGGCGTGGTAAAACGACAGTAGCCCCGCCTCCCAGTGCAGGTGACACCCGACTCTCTGGGGAGGATCCGTCACCGGCACTGAGGTCTCTACACCACCATGAAGCACTGAGCAGCTGTTGTAATCTTTATATAAAACCCAGGATGAGTCGTTCTTTCCCAGGCTACACTCGTCACCACTCCCTTTCCGTTTCCGTGCGATCGTCCCATACGCGACTCCAACCTGACAGAAATCCGCCACATTCTCCACGTCCACCTCCCAGTAGTGCTGACCCGACGAGAAGCTCTCGGAGCACAGGGCTTGGTCCCAGTAATCAAAGCGGTATGGGTGATCGGGGCGACCCTGGGAGACAGCGGTCCACGTCACTGTCCTGAGGTCCGAGGAAATCTGGAGTTTGTTGCAGGCCGAGTTGAGGTCCACAGTCGGTGAGCGTCCATCTGCAGTAACGATAATCACAGTAGCCGTGTAACAACAGCACCACTATATAACAATAGCACTCGTCCACTAACACGCACGTACACTACAATAGAGCAATTCATAATGATCATTGTTACACAACGTTGTAATGCGTAGCTATCGGTGTGATGACATGTAACGGGTACTTTGTCAATCCGCAATTGGATGAAGGCCTCCCTACACCGTGCGGGTCTCGGGGGACATTTGACCATCCTTCACCACGCCGGTCACCGCGCGTTGGCGAAGGCAGGCGGCGCGGCTGGCGAGAGCACAGAAGTACAGTACAGCGTGCGTTTGTCCGTCCCGCCACCTGCTGCCACGCCACGTAGCCCCGCAGCCTGTAGCACCTGCTAGGCAGGGTGGTGGCTGCCCCGCCATGTGGCCACGCAGCCTGTAGCACCTGCTAGGCAGGGTGGTGACTGCCCCGCCACGTGGCCCCGCAGCCTGTAGCACCTGCTAGGCAGGGTGGTGACTGCCCCGCCACGTGGCCCCGCAGCCTGTAGCACCTGCTAGGCAGGGTGGTGACTGCCCCGCCACGTGGCCCCGGACCCTGTAGCACCTGCTAGGCAGGGTGGTGGTGGCCGCCCGTGCGAGCCCTGCCCAGGCCCAGCCCCTGCGGGGCTTTGCGAGGTGCCAGGAGGTCGGGCACTCTGTGCACGATTTGGGGATAATCTCTAATAGCGATTTTTCTGACAGAGATTGCGATTTGATTTGCGATTACATTTTTTAAAAGTCAAGCTTCAGTTCAATAGTCACTGTGTAATATATTTAAAACATGTAATGGAGCATGAAAACATGATACAATCCAAATATTAACTGCTCTATATATTATAATGCAAGGATGAGAACTTAAAATATATGAATTCCTTCCAACATGTATTTAATAAAAAATAATTTTTGAAAAAGAACAATTAAATATAGAACAAATATTTCAGGTTAAATAAATAAAGTTATAAAAATAATAATAGACAAACAATTCCATTAAGAAAGTAATAGGACTTTTCAAATCGCAGAAAAATCGCAGCCTTTGCGATTTCCTAATCGCATTGTTTCAAATTGCGATTTCGATTTGAAATCGATTAATCGTTCAGCCCTCCTGTGGCGGTAGCGACCGTGGGAGGCAGTGGATCGCAGCAGCAGCGGCGGCGTGGATATCAACACTGCCGTAGCGTCTCTGTGTGTACAACAAACACAAACGTCTCCCGTGTGTCACCTTTCACAGACTGTAGGGGCAAGTGGTGTTGGTGAGCACCTGTGAAGGCCGACACGGCACACGAGGTGGGTGTGATCGTGTCGTGATGTACACTCGTGTGTGTGTGTGTGGTAGTGTAGTGATGCACACTCGTGTGTGTGTGTGATAGTGTAGTGATGTACACTCGTGTGTGTGTGATAGTGTAGTGATGTACACTCGTGTGTGTGTGTGTGTGATAGTGTAGTGATGTACACTCGTGTGTGTGATAGTGTAGTGATGTACACTGGTGTGTGTGTGATAGTGTAGTGATGTACACTCGTGTGTGTGATAGTGTAGTGATGTACACCCGTGTGTGTGATAGTGTAGTGATGTACACTCGTGTGTGTGTGATAGTGTAGTGATGTACACCCGTGTGTGTGATAGTGTAGTGATGTACACGCGTGTGTGTGTGTGTATGATAGTATATTGATGTACACTCGTGTGTGTGTGTGTGATAGTGTAGTGATGTACACTCGTGTGTGTGTGATAGTGTAGTAATGTACACTGTGTGTGTGTGTGATAGTGTAGTGATGTACACTCGTGTGTGTGTGTGATAGTGTAGTGATGTACACTGTGTGTGTGTGTGTGTGTGCTAGTGTAGTGATGTACACTCGTGTGTGTGATAGTGTAGTGATGTACACTCGTGTGTGTGTGTGTGATAGTGTAGTGATGTACACTCGTGTGTGTGTGTGATAGTGTAGTGATATACACTCGTGTGTGTGTGTGTGTGTTATAGTATAGTGATGTACACTCGTGTGTGTGTGTGTGATAGTGTAGTGATGTACACTCGTGTGTGTGTGTGATAGTGTAGTGATGTACACTGTGTGTGTGTGATAGTGTAGTGATGTACACTCGTGTGTGTGTGTGATAGTGTAGTGATGTACACTCGTGTGTGTGTGTGATAGTGTAGTGATGTACACTCGTGTGTGTGATAGTGTAGTGATGTACACTCTGTGTGTGTGATAGTGTAGTGATGTACACTCGTGTGTGTGTGTGTGTGTGGTAGTATAATGATGTACACTCTGTGTGTGTGATAGTGTAGTGATGTACACTCGTGTTAGTGTGTGATAGTTTTGTGATGTACACTCGTGTGTGTGTGTGATTGTGTAGTGATGTACACTGTGTGTGTGTGATAGTGTAGTGATGCACACTCTGTGTGTGTGTGATAGTGTAGTGATGTACACTATGTGTGTGTGATAGTGTAGTGGTGTACACTCGTGTGTGTGATAGTGTAGTGGTGTACACTCGTGTGTGTGATAGTGTAGTGATGTACACTCGTGTGTGTGTGTGTGATAGTGTAGTGATGTACACTTGTTTGTGTGATAGTGTAGTGATGTACACTCGTGTGTGTATGTGTGATAGTGTAGTGATGTACACTCATGTCTGTGTGATAGTGTAGTGATGTACACTCGTGTGTGTGTGTGTGAGAGTGTAGTGATGACTGCGGTGTGTAAACATCGCCACTGGGGAGACAAAGGCGGTCGGGCGTGGTGCTGGCCACCCACCCCCTCATAGGAGCTCGCTAACAGCACTTGCCCCAACAGTCTGTTAAGGCCATACGAGGGATCTCTGTCTATATCAACGTATTGGTATATGTTGATACGTGTTCTTTTGTAATTAACTTGTTGTTGCCTGTGTAGTGATTTGCACGGACAACTCAGCTTATGCCTTGGTCTGGCTGTCTACTAAAACCTAAAGTTGCCTTTGATTCTGAGAGCATCAGGCTGTAACACTGAACCTTAATAATCCTCAAAGTGTCTGGATCTCGCTGCCTCAAGCACTAATAATGAATCCTAAACATCTTAGCCCTAGCGTGTGTGAGTGTGTGTGTCAGACTCACACGCAGGATAGCAATAGCATCCTCACTCAATTATACACACGTGCAGTGTTAATGGAGCTCATGTAATAGTGATTTGCAGTCATCTGTGTGTATGTGCTATATTTTAATGTGTACGTATATATGTTTTATAGTAATTAACCTTTTTGTCTAGGTAGTGATTTACACGGTCAACCAAGGTCAAGCCCATGGCTGGCTGTCTGATTAACCTCTGAATATTAACACAGAATCCTAAAGGTGCCTTTGATTCTTAGAGCTTTAGGCATTAACACAGAGCCCTATGAATTCTAACTGTGTCTGAGTCTGTATCACGCTGCCTCAATTACTAATAATGAATCCTCAGAATCTCAGCCATAGCGTCTCTGTGTAAAACAATCACACAAACACAGCATAGCAAGAGCATCCTCATTCAATAATACACACGTGTAGGGTTAATATAGTTCATGTAATACTCCTTTACACTCGTGTGTGTGCTGTATATTAATGTAGAGGTATTGCAATATGTTGGTTTGTGGTTCTGGGACTCCTCTACTTTTATATTGTTTACAGCCGAGTCGGCTGAATTTTTTTCACAGGGGGGGGTAATGTAGAGGAGTAAAATGGGGACGTGACGTCAGGTGTGCCGTTCAGTGCGATGACGTCACGTTTCCTAGGGTTTTTAAGGGATACCCCGTGACGTAAGCGGGGTCACTATAGGAACGGGGATAGTAAACAGGGTGAAGAGGGAACCAGGGATAGTGAGAGGGATCGAATAGGGAGTCTGGGGAGAAGCCAGTGGTAGCCGTAGAGGTGCTTCTCTCTCCGGTCGGTGGAGTCGGCAGAGTCCACGATCCGACACAAGAGAGAGAGACCGGAGCTAGCCGGCAGGGACCCGGACTCAGAGTAGGACCCCTAGCCCCTGGGAGTTGTGTACCCTGTGTAATATTGATAAGTGTTAATAAACCCTGGCGGAAGCCCCTAACTTACCTCCGTCTCCGAGTACGTCCGTCGGAACTTCTCTACACATGGGCAAAAGTAATGTATCTGTTTGCACAGTGATACACATGGTGAGCCACAGTGATAACCCAGAAGGCTCTGTGAGCCTCAGGTATTAACCTTGAACCCCAATAATCTTTACTGTGCCTAAGTAGGGATATAGCAGCCTCAAGAAATATGAATGAATCTTGAGAATCCTAAGGCTGCCTTGGTCTGGTTATGAGCCTCCGGCATTATCAAAGAACCCTGTGCATCACAACGGTGATGGAGTCTCTCGAGTCTGATGATGACATCCATTACAGAAAAGACTTATAGTCATAGATTCATCTGCTACAATGGTTACTTTGGCCAACAGCATCCTCACTGGATAATACACACGTGTAATATCAATGAAGCTCAAGTAGTAGTGAAATATGCTCGTGTTTGTGCTAAATATTAGTGTCCAATGAATATATTACAGTCGTAATGTTTATCTTTGCACGTGCAGTGCGGTGATAGGCAAGATTAATCAAGGCAATGCCTTAGTCTGGCTCTGTGAGCCTCAGCCATTAACTGGGGAAGCTAACATTGTAAAGGTGCCTTAGTTTGACTCTATGTGCATCAAACTGTTAACATGAAGCCTAAGACTCCTATGTCTTAGTTTGGATGTATGATCCTTGGGTATTAACAATCAACCATAAGATTCCTAAGCGTACCTTGATCTTGTTTTAAAATCTATAGTCTTTATCATTCAACCATACAAATCCTCCAGGCAGCCTTTGTATCTGCAGTGGTGATGTTTACAATACAGCCTTAATGAGTACCTAGGACGATTTGACCTAGGAGAGCTCCAAAATTGGTTCTGAATCCACTCACCACTGATGTTAGCCATGAATAGCCTGTTGGTGACGATGTTTGTAGCTCAGTGCACAATACATCCCATCTTCACTGGACATCCGCACTCACTCTCGCTCATCCATACACCCATACACCTCCGATTTGCACGGTTGGTTCAATATAGATCTATACACTTTTACAAAGACAAAGATGCCCCCGTATATCCTCAACAAACTTTTGGGGCAAGTGCTGTTAGCAAGCACCTATGAAGGCCTGCACGGCACACCAGGGGGTGAGTGACCAGCACCATGTCAGGCCGCCTTTGTCTCCCCAGTGGTGATGTTTACACACCGCACCAGGTACTCAATTGAGGCTGAGTCGACCTAGGGGAGATCCAGGACCGGTTCAGATAATCCATCACTGGTGTTGGCCTTGAGCAGGAATCACACTCGGGACGCCAGGTTCATAGCGCAGTGCGCTAACCACTACACTACCGCTCCACAACATACTTGTACAAGCACAATTACACGCACAATAACACACACGCACAGGTGGTAAGAGTCCGTGGAACTCACACATGAATGCCAGCAGGTTGACCCCAGCTCCCTGCAGGGCGCTGATCACGGCGATGTCTTTTTTGCTGAAAGATGAGTGTGGAGCTTCCTTCTGAGCGTCTCTCCTATGACACCAGAACCAGCAGTGACTCACACAGCCCGTGTCTTATACAGCACCAACACACACAGCACCAACACACACATCACCATCACACACAGCACCATCACACATAGCCCGTGTCTTACACTGCATCATCACACACAGCATCACCACTCACAGCATCATCATCACACACAGCTTCATCGCTCACAATCATCACACATCGCATCATCACGTGCAGCATCACACACAGCGAGTGTCTTACGAAGCATCACACACAACATCATCACAGCCAGTGCCTTACACAGCATCATTACACACAGCGATATTACACTCATCATCACGCAGCCCATGTCCCACACAAGGCGTCACCCCGTGTATTAATCTGTGGGAGTTCATGTATCCCTACCGGTTTGTCTCCTTCAGGTGAACCTGCAGGAGTCAGACACAGGACAGGGGACGCGAATCAGTTCACCTTCAGCCATATTAACCACACGGTGATTGGTAGATGCGATGAGCTGAGCTGCACTCAGCCATTTGCGTATCCCAGTGTTGTTGGTTGCAATCAAGACAAAGCCGTGAACTCGTTTGGACTCGATGGTTCTCATCAGCAAGGTGTGGCCTCTCAAACCCTTGCCACGGGCAATAGACGTACGTGGCACTCGACATCGAGTGGCAGTGATTGTGAACCAACATTGGAAATAATTATCCACTGCGAGGGTGACTTACACCCAGAGCATCGCGTTACCTTTGTCAGAAGTTTAGAATTTTTGGGACAATTTTCAGGCTCAAAAACCTCAAGAGAAGCTCACCTTTGATACGATTTTGTGCCCAAAAGTCGTTAATGTACATACATAACGTACGTGCATTGTGTCTTGATTAACTGTGAATAACCCAACTAATAAGAGAGATACATTGTCATTTATATGCAAACATTAACTCACCTTTCCCACTCTGGGCTTCGCACCTGATTGGCTCACAGTGATGACATCACATTTATTCCTCTAAGACCAAAACAGGAGAATTTCTCCACAATTTTGACGGTCACCTGATGAGGCTGGTTATAATTACTGGCAAAACGTTGTACTCGTTTCGTAGATAGAAATATTATGATAAAAATAAAGTGAATTAAAATACAAATAATAAAATTTAAATCAATAATAATATAAAACAAAAAACACTAATGTATTTTATTTTGTATTATTTGTATTTACTTTCTTTTTATTATTATTTTTCTATCTACGTGACTTTACCGACAGAACTCAAAGAATATGAATTCCTGCAGTCACGAAAGTTTAAAGGCAAAATGTTAATCGTTTATTTATTATTTGGAAATTCAGTGGTAAGTTATATTTTTACTAGAACATACAAATTCACGTTGGTGGACTTCTTTCAAAACAATCTACGGCCCATAGATTGTATTGACAATGCAAGTTGCGTTATTATGTTCTTTGTGATACCTTGCATGTGCCGCCTTTCTAAATGTACAGTCAGTTTTCGACGTGAAACGCGAACTTAATCACGGAACAATGTTTTTTCAGTGGAGCGATCCTTCGTGAGATGTAATGAGTCAGCCTCGTGCTGGCAGTGAGTGTTTGTGCATGTGTGCGCCCGTGCTCGTATGTGCGTGCGTGTACAAGTTAGTGTGGGGGGAGTGGTAGTGCAATGGTAAGCGCACTGCGTTACCAACCCACGACACGAGTTCGATTCCTGCTCACGACCAACACCAGTGACGATTATCTGAATGGGTCCTGGGCCTCCCCAAGGTCGACTCAGCCTCAAAGGAGTACCTGGTTGTGTGCGTAAACATCGCCACTGCAGAGGCAACAGTGGTCAATGGTGGCCAGGTGGGGTGATGCCTTCTCACTCTACCTGCAGGAACGTGAGCGAGTCCCTCTCCTCCTGCAGAGCGTGCAGGCGCGTGGCTGCTGCATGGAGCTCGTTGATCTCGTGCTCGTAATGAGCGATGTTCTCCTCGATCTGGGACAGCAGCTCGAGCCCCTTCACGTCCACGCGATCCAAATTGCCCTCTCGTCCTCATCCAGCATCACCCTCATGCGGGTGAACTTGCCTGAGATGCGAGCCTTGGTCTGGACCATGCAATCCTGCAAGGGTGTGCGATGACTGATATCATTTAATATTTAATGCTATAAATACCAAAGTCACATTTTTTCTGGCTACTCTAAACCTAGTTTGCCCTGCCTCTTACATTATGTCTCTGCACTCACATCTCAGTGAACAGGTCAATAACTGTTGAAGAATCTAGGACGTTCACATCTATAATATGGTTAGTAAGATAAAAAGCAAAATTGTATTCCTCAGTGGAAATAAACACATCATAAAGAGAAACATTAAATTGTCAATCAAAATATAATTATCCATACGGTGCCATTATATGACCTACAATGCATTCCTAAAACAAATGTACCTACCCAATACATACTAAAAAATATCTTTCAATACAACTGAGATATTTTATTCACATATATGGAGAAAAATAACGACTAATAACTTACTAAAAGTATCTGTTATTAAAACTCCCTTACGTTATTGGAATGTCCATTTCTCTAAACATATGTAGTGGTGTTATGGGACAAACACCAGTTACAGCTGTTACAGTGTTATGGGACAAACACACATCAGTTACAGCTAGCACCCTGGGCTTACTCGAAGAGGGCTGTGGGCTTTGGATCCCCCGTGCCCCTACCAACGGGTGGGGGCTGCGGGGTGTGCTGTGATCCCTCAGAACCCCGCCCCTCGGTGAGGAATTTGTATAACAGACGGGGAGCCAGAGAGATAGGGGCAGTGTTCGCAAGCTATAGTCAGAAGACCCAGTTGAAGACTGAAGACCGGCTAGATAGACACTGGAACTCCTCTGACCCGCTGTCCTTCTCAGGGCCGGGCAGAGCAAGCCAGCGGTGTGACCCCAGAGCCTCAGAGCCGATGTCCTTCTAAAGGCCGGATCTGTGTGGCTGGTGGTCAGGTCCTGAGCCTTGGCTGGGCCAGGCCAGTTAGCCTCCCCTAGAGCCCTTAGGGGAGGACCTGGGAGCCTAGGGGTGTATCCCAGTGTCGTACGGGTGAAGGGGTCGTTACCCCTTCCAGTGTTGTATACCTTGCCTGTCTAAGTGTTGAGTTACAATAAATAGTGCTGCCTCCACTTCACCGTCTCTGTCAGTTCGGAACCCACTACACATATGCTGGGCTCTCTCCCCTCCCTCCACCGTTTCAAATCACTCTGAGCTCAGATATTTGATGGAGATCAATGATCTGCTTTTCTGGTTGTATTACTAATATTCTCCACAACATGGAGATGTTGTGTGAATTATTATCACCAGCTGACTTGATGCCCACTTTTACATCAGGATTTGCATGACATTGGATACTCGTAACATTTTTCGTGGTGGTGGGGTTTCTGTGTTCCAATGACCCTCAGAGCTATGTCGCTTGGAGTCTTGTACTCCTGGTAGGATCTGCTTTGGTTAACAGGTCTGGGCAGAGCTTCCAGACAAATAATGGTCCAAAAAAGCATCACTTTATGAATGGTTGAAAAGTACTAAAATCAGAGAACCTGACCCAGACAAGATATACCGGGAGCCCCCCTGGAGCCAGGCCTGAGGGTGGTATTTGCCAAGAAGCACCTGGTGGGTGGGAGACCCACGTAATTCGGTTGAGCCCTGCCCGAAATGGCTAAGTGACGCCGTCCTCTGGGCCCACCATCTGCAGGATGAAGGGTGAGGGGCGGGTGCGATGCCAGTATTGCAGGGAGTGGGATGGTGTCAGAAGGACTGAACATTGAAAATGGGTACTAGCTATTAGGACATGGAATGTCACTTCACTGGGGGGGGGGGGGGGGAGTCGGCACTAGTGGAGAAGGTGAAAAGGTACCGACTAAATATAGTCGGTCTCACCTCCACTCACAGCATTGGCAATGAACGCTAACTTCTTGATTGGGGGTGGTCTCTTCTATTCTGGAGAAACCCCTGGTGAGTGGCCCCGGGCGAGTGTGGGGATATTCACAAGCCTGGCTGGGTGCTGTTCAGTTGTAGTTTGTCCCAGTGGATGAGAGGGTCGCCTCAATGAGACATCGGGTCTCAGAAAGGACAACTCTGACTGTTGTCTGTGCATATGTACCAACAGCAGTTCAGAATTTTCGGCCCTCTTGGAGATGGTGGGTGCAATGCTCAATCGTGCCGCCTACCGACTCCATAGTCTTATTGGGCGATGTCAATGCTCACGTGGGAAAATATGGAGAAACCTGGAGAGGCATGATTAGGGGGAATGTCCCCCCTGATCTGAAACCGAACGGTGAGGATTAACTGGATTTAACTGGAATTCTGCGATAGTAACGGAATGTCAAAAACAAACACCATGTTCGAACACGAGGATGCTGATATGTGTATGTGGTACCAGCGCACCTTGGGCCGAAAGACAATAATTTACTTCATAGTTGTGTAGTAGCGTTCACGACTCTTGGACACCGGAGTTGGAGGCACACGGATTTATATAACACAGCACGTTCGTGGTATACAGCACTGGAGGGGGTATCGGCCCCCTCACCCGACTAGCTGAGGATACACGTCCTAGCTACTCCTAGCCTGCCTCCTAGTCCTCCACTAATGGGCTAGGGGAGGCTATCTGGCCCGACACTGGTAAGTCGGGCCCGGTACCCGGAGTCCCAGACCAGCTCTTACAAGAGCACCGGCTCTGGCTCTCGGGACCACGCCACTGGCTCGGTCCTGTTCGGCCCTGATAAGGACAGCGAACCAGGGGAGTCCAGGGCTCTATCTAAGACATCTTCAGTCTTCTCTGGTTAGCTTTAACATTACTGCCGAGCCCATTGATACATCCCCTTTTATACCCAACCCCTCGCTGAGGGGTGGGGCCCCGGGGGATCGTAACGCCTGAATCAGCCCCCCCCAGGGTGCCTGGCTCGGACGTCGTAGAGGGCACCTCCCCGTGCACTTACGTAGCCCCGCCCACTGTGTTTGTTTGCCATAGGCTGCCATGCATAACGGGCTCTCTCTCTAACACCCCTACATCACCCCCCCCCCCCTTGCATAGCTTGCAGCCGTCCCGGCTGCCAACATACAAAAAAAATGACAATAAAGGTGCATTTACCCCCTGACCGCGCGTGTGCCTCACTATTTTTCAACAATAACAGGAACAACAACAAGAACACAACAAAACGCCACAGCAAGAAGAGAAAACAACCCGACGCACCCCCCCTGAATAAATACGAATTCCGTAAAAAAAACACAGCCTATATACAATTTGCAGGGAACCCACCACACACACAACACATGGTGAACCCAACATATGTACATTCAATGAGCAGGGAACACACCACCCACACAACACACAATGAACACAACCTATGTACACATCTTCCGGCCTCACAACAGTCTGCGCATTTTAGCGCGTGTCCTTGCAGCGGGCCCCTCACATGGGGTAACCCCGGGTGGCGGACCGTCAGGTGGCAACTGTCCGTCTCGGAGTGAGTCCTCATCCGACGCCGCGCGACCTTTGGCATCCCCAGGAGGGGTGGTCGGGCGTGAGCCCGTCACTCCTGATGCACCTGGAGGTGGCACGGCCGGCAAGGCATTAGGTGAGGGCGACGGAGACGGACCCAGTGAGTCGGTCGACCCCCCACATGTTTGGCCACGCGTGTGTGAAGTGGGGTTGTGTACCGCAACGAAGGGTTTTAACCTAGAGGGGTGCACGAACCACCGCCGCTTCCCCCATTTGATGCGCACGCACTGCGGTCGCAAAACCTCGACCACCTCCACAGGGCCCCGCCACGGCCGCACCAGCTTAGAGGAGGTTGCCAGTGGCACCTGGGGACAGTGCAGCCATGCCTTGTCCCCCGGCTTCCACTGCATCATGTGCGCCCGACCCAGTCTGAGGCGCTCATTCGCTTTTTGACGAGGCTGGTTATAATTATCCCGCGCCTCTGTCAATTTGGCCAGATTAAATTTTACATGGTCAGCCAATTTAGTTTTTTCCCTGCGGCTCGGGGATCTGCAGTTGGGCACGGACAGGCGGGTCGGGTTCGCGGCCGTACATGAGGTCAAAGGGGGAAAATCCCGTAGCTGCGTGGGGTGCCATCCGGTACGCCGCCAAGACCCCTTGAATTTGCAGGTCCCAATCGGTCTGTGAGTCCAAAACCTGCTGTGACAACATTGACGTGATGGTGCGATGCAGACGCTCGACCATCCCGTCAGTTTGCGGGTGATACGGGGAGGTACGAATTTTCTTCGTGCCCAGGAGCTCACAGACTTGTTTGAGTAGTTTACCGGAAAAAATTCTGACCTGGTCGGTTAGCAGCCGCTCCGGGGCACCTTTGTCCAGGACGTATCCCTGAACAAAGGCCTCCACGATGGCTGCTGCCGACTGGTTGGCAAGGGGCCAGGCCATAGGCCAGCGTGTAAAATACTCCACACCAGTCAACAAATATCTATTGCCCCTGGGGGTGGCGGGGAATGGACCCAAAATATCCAGCGCGACAAGCTCGTTTCTTCTGGACACTTTGATCGATTGCAAGGGTGGGTTAGACTCCCGTGCCGGCGGTTTTCGTTGCGCACACCGAGGGCATGATCCCAATAAATCCCCAACATCCCTCGTCATGCCAGGCCAAAAAAAATCAAGTTGTAGCAAGGCGAGAGTCTTTTGGGTCCCCAGGTGTAGAAGGCGCTCATGAGCGGCCCACACCACCTTGCCCTGCAACCCAGAAGGGACCACCAGCCGATGTCGATGGGATTTCCCGTCCCAATGCATCAGCAGACCTTGCACCATTTCCCATGCATCAGAATCACCCCTCGCCCGCCCAGCACCGCCGACGCGACGATGCCACCCGAGGAGGGAGGTATCCTCCATCTGGAGGCGCCCCCATTCAGTGACGGGCAACCCCAACAGGGAATCTCTTCCCTGTTGTTCGATCGAATTAGTAATCAATGTTTCGTCGTCGTCGGCGGCCGCCAAGATTGGAACCGATACGTCTCCTGAAGGCCTGCAACGTCCAGACCCCAGGAGACATGCACATTCGGAGGTGGTTGGCATGCGCGACAGAGCGTCCGCATTGGTGTGGCGAACGCCCTTACGGTAGGTGGTTTCAAAATCAAAGTCCTGGAGAATCTCCAACCATCGAGACAATTGTCCCGATGGTTGTTGAACTCGCAGGGCATACTGTAGTGCCGCATGATCTGTGCGGACGGTGAAATGCCGACCGTACAGATATGGACGATACTGTTGGATGAAATAGACAATTGCCAACAGTTCCCGACGGGTGACACAATATCTTTGCTCCGCAGGAGACAACACCCGACTACCGTACGCTACCACCCGTTCCACGCCGTCAACCACCTGGGAAAGCACACCCCCAATACCCGTGTTGCTCGCATCGGTGTCGAGCAAAAAGGGCTTAGAAAATCGGGGTAACCAAGGGAGGAGCTTTTACCAGGGCGTTCCCGAAGGGAGCAGAAAGCAGCCTCCTCCTCTTGACCCCAGTGGAACCGAACCCCTTTTGATGTTAAAGCGTGCAAGGGTTTGGCAATCGTCGCAAAATCAGCGACGAACCGTCGGTAATACGACGCGAAGCCAATGAAACTCCTGACCCCTCCCACCGAGGTGGGAGTCGGCCAGGAGCTGACACACTGCGTTTTGGCGGGATCGGTAGCAATACCTGAGCGCCCCACGATGTGCCCCAAATAACGCACCGAATCGCGTAACAAATGGCATTTTGGGGCTTGAATTTCAAATTAGCAGCCCGCATCTTTAGGAAAACCGCCCGCAACCTCTGGAGATGTTCGTCAAAAGTTTTACCAAAGACGATAACGTCATCCAAATAAATGAGGCACGACTCCCATTGCAATCCAGCCAAAACCAATTCCATCAAACGCTGGAAAGTTGCCGGCGCTGAGTGTAAGCCCATCGGCAACCGGTTGAATTGGAACAGGCCGTGCGGTGTACGGAAAGCAGTTTTAGGCTTTGAATCATCGTCCAGAGGAAGCTGCCAGAATCCCGAAAGTAAATCCAGTGTGGAGAAGAATCGCGCTCCCGCCAAGGCGTCCAGCGATTCATCCATCCGTGGGAGCGGGTATGCGTCGGCAACCGAAATTTTGTTAAGGCGCCGAAAATCAACGCAAAACCGCAACGAGCCGTCCTGCTTTTTAACCAGGACGATCGGCGCTCCCCAAGGGCTGGTGGAAGGAGAAATGATGTCGGCGGCCAACATGTCATCAATAGCCGATTTGACATGGTCCTTTTCGGCGGGACTCAACCGAAAGGGATTCTGGCGTATTGGCGCGCTGTCACCCGTATCAATATGGTGACGCAGCAGATGAGTGCAACCCAAATCGTATTTATCTCGACTGAAAACGTCGGAAAATTCCCGCAGTAGTGTTTTAAGTTGTTGACGCTCTGAATTTGACAGGTCCGTCGATCCCGCACAAAGCGCCTCGAGCCACCCTCATCGCTGTCCGAATGTGGTCGCGGCGCAGGGACAACGCTGACATGATTCGCGACGGGTTCCTCACAGGGCACCGGCGTTGCGTGAGCAAGCACGGTTCCCTGTGGGACCACCACCGTCTGCGAGCCCACATTGAGGACCGCGATGAAGGGGTCTCCGTCCCCTCTTACTATGGTCTGGGCCGGAAGTAAATGAGGTCCACTAACCCCGGCCCTAGACGGCCCCAGCAGAACCCTTCGGGCCCCAATGCCCTTAGCGAAGGGCCGCCGAAGTTTCAAAGGAATCAACATTTGTGCCCCCGGAGGGACGCGCACCGTTCTATCTACGAACGCCGGCACCGTCGCGAACGCCGTCCGACTCGTAACGGGGGATGGCAGAAACGCCATGCGTCGGCCCGACGGGAGCTCAATGCATCCCTGGTCGATTAATATCCTAATCGGCATTTTGGCCAGGAAGTCCGTCCCCAGCAGGCACGGAACCGCCAGCGAGGAGGAAACAAAAATCGGCCCAGACAATTTAATTTCCCCAATACAAATTTGGGCACGAATCTGTCCGATGATGCCAAGTGAGCCCCCGTTAGCAGCATAGAATGGCACGTTAACAGGCATCAAAGGACGGCTCTGGGCAGGGAGAATATTGTAAATTAACTCCGAAATAATGGTCGCCGATGCTCCCGTATCGACCAGGATGCGCACCTCAACCCCGTCGATGTGCCCCACAATGGCAGACGACCCTGACGATGCGGCTACAACACGATCGGCCAACACGGACCACTGGCCGGGTTCGATATGAGTACCCAGAGTGGTGCGTGTTGGTGCGATGGTGCGCGATATCGGCCCCCCATTCGTTGCGTTGTTTGAGTGCGTGATGGGCGTGTGCGTGGGCCAACATGAGGGGTGCCGCGACTTGCCGGATTATGATGGTGGAGCTTGTGACGAGGGCCGTCGTCCCGTTGAGGTGTCGTCCCGCGCTGCCGAGGAGAGCGGCACCCCGAGGCGACATGGCCCCGGATGCCGCAGGTTGTAACAGCGCGGGAGCGCTGGCGACGTCGATGGATGTTGGAGATGGCTTGAACCGCCCCGGTCCGCCCGTACTCCCGCACCATGCTGCCGTTGATGTTCGATGGCGCAAACCTCTTCCGCCGGGAGGGTGGCTGCAGCGACGGCACGCCCGCTCGCCGCCTTGCTGGCCTTCCGTCGTTGTGAGCACAGGTTTGCGTGGAGGAGTCGGGCCGCTTGGAGGGAGCACATCTCTGCATCGTCCTGTGCGACGATGACGATATCTAAGTCGTCCGCCAGCAGGAGTATCTTCTCCGTAACCATGGCGTCGACACCTTCGTTGTCCATCCGTGGAAAGGCCGCCTTTGCCAGTGCCAGGAAGCTTGTGCGGTATGCCAGGGGCGACTCCTTTGCCCCCCGCTGGCAATCGTAAAAGAGTTGGCGACAGTCCGACGGTGGACCGTATACTGCAGACAGCACCTGCATTGCCTTCTGCAGCGTGGAGCCGCCTCTCCTTCGGTGCCGATGTTAGAGTGGCGAGGGCGTCGCTGTCGAGGAGTGCCGGCAGCGCGCGGAGAGCCTCGGCGTCCGTCCACTGTGCCATCTCCTGGTGAGCGAGGAAGCGCCGCTGGAAGCCGCCCCAGTCGCCTTCCTCGCCCACAAATTCTTTGAGTGGAGGTAGTCGCTGATGTAAGGCAGCGGCTGCCGCGGAAGATCGCATTCCCCCGTCCCCCTCACTCGGCTCTGCGTCGGCGCGAACAAGCGATGGGATCGCCGGTCGCACCCGTGGTGACTTTCCGCCCGTTGGTGATGACGCGGCAGGTACTGTACTCCCGCCGTTGGACGCGATGCTCAGGCCAGCCACGCCCTCAACAGCAGCTGCGGCGATGGCGGGATTTTCAAAACGGTGCTCCGTCGAAATGGCGGGAAGGCGCTGTGGTCGTCGGCTGCCGTCGCCCCGTGGCGGTCCGCAGCCCCAGCTGTGTGATGTGGTCGAGCATGGTGGCAGCGGCATACAGCAAGCTCGGCCAGCTTCGCGTGCGCCTGCCTCAGCCCCTCTGTCGACGGTTCCCCTTCCTCCTGCTGCTGTGGTGTTGGATGCCTCCGGCCCCGGCTGCTCGATGACATCTTCAGCCGTCTCGGGCTCCCCGACTGCAGTGGTGTCCTCCGCCTCTGGTACCCTGACTCGAGTCGTCCGGCGTGTGTCCATGTTCGTAGTTGTTTCACTTGCCGACACCAGATGTAGTAGCGTTCACGACTCTTGGACACCGGAGTTGGAGGCACACGGGTTTATTTAACACAGCACGTTCGTGGCATACAGCACTGGAGGGGCTATCGGCCCCCTCACCCGACTAGCTGAGGATACACGTCCTAGCTACTCCTAGCCTGCCTCCTAGTCCTCCACTAATGGGCTAGGGGAGGCTATCTGGCCCGACACTGGTAAGTCGGGCCCGGTACCCGGAGTCCCAGACCAGCTCTTACAAGAGCACCGGCTTTGGCTCTCGGGACCACGCCGCTGGCTCGGTCCTGTTCGGCCCTGATAGGACAGCGAACCAGGGGAGTCCAGGGCTCTATCTAAGACGTCTTCAGTCTTCTCTGGTTAGCTTTAACATAACTGCCGAGCCCATTGATACATCCCCTTTTATACCCAACCCCTCGCTGAGGGTGGGGCTCCGGGGATCGTAACGCCTGAATCAGCCCCCCCCAGGGTGCCTGGCTCGGACGTCGTAGAGGGCACCTCCCCGTGCACTTACGTAGCCCCGCCCACTGTTGTTGTTTGCCATAGGCTGCCATGCATAACGGGCTCTCTCTCTAACACCCTACAGTTGTATTATCAGACCTAAGGACACTCGGGTGAAGAAATGGGCAGAGCTGTCAACTAATCACCGCCTGGTAGTAAGTTACATCTGATGTTGGGGCACCGACCAGATAGATGTGGAAGGCCCAAACGAATAGTGCAGCTTTTCTGGAAACGTCTGGCGGAAGACCCAGTGCAGAAATATTTCAACTTCCACCTCTGGGAAAACTTATCCTGCACTCCAGAGAAGGTCATGGACATTGAGTCCGAGTGGACGATGTTCAGGACCTCTATTGTGGATGCGACTGCAAAAGCTATTGTCGGGAGGCAGTTAGTGCCTGTGAAAGTGGCAAACCTAGGTCCCGCTGGTGGACACCAGTGCTGAGGGATGCTGACAAGTTGAATAAGGAGAATTTTTCCTAGCTATGCTTGGAAAAAAAGGTCTCTCGACTCGATTGAGAGGTACCAGCTTGCCGAGAGAGCGGTACCAATTGCTGAAGCAAAAGCCCGAGCAGGGAGGCACTTGGAGAGGCCATGGAGAGAGACTACAGTGCAGCCTCAAATATCTTTGTCAAACCATCCGACGCATTAGGAAGGGTATATGGGATGTGGTCCCATCTGTTCTCAGTAACATTGAACACAACGAAGGAAATAGTCGAGAGGTGGAAGGAACAATTTGAGGAGCTCCTCAACCCAGTGGACATGCCCTAATCTCAAATGGCAGGCCTGGAACAGCTGGGGGGATCGGATCCATCACAGTTGCTGAAGTCACTCTGGCGGTCGAGGGCCTTCATAGCAGCAAAGCTACTAGAGTGTATGAGGTTCATCCAGAGTTGTTTTAAGCACTTGACAGTGTAGGAGTGCCTTTTCAATGTTGCATGGAAGGTCGGTACAATACCTCTGGATTGGAAAACTGGAGTCATGTTGCCCATTTTTAAGGAAGGGGACTAGAGGATCTGCTCCAACTACAGAGGGATCACACTCTCAGTGTCCCAGGTAAAGCCAGTGCTAGAGTGCTGGAGGGGAGTTTCTTGCCGGTTGGTTGATCCTTAGATTCAGGAGGAACAATGCGGATTCCGTCAGGGTTGTGGAACAATGGACCAGCTTTTTTCCTTCTTACAGATATTTGAGGGGTCATGGGGGCATACTGCTCCAGTCTATCTTGCTTTGTAGACTTGGAGAAAGCATATGACCGTGTTCCCTGTAATATCTTGTGGGAGGTGATGCGAGAGATTGATGTACCGGTGCCGCTTTTGTGTGGTATCCAGTCCCTCTATTCCCAGAGTGAGAGCTGTGTCTGTATTATTGGTGTTAAATCAATGTCATTCACTGTGGGTGTTGGACTCTGCCAAGGGTGCGACTTGTCTCTGCTCCTTTTTGTGATTTTCATGGACAGGATATCAAGGCACAGTTCAGGTATGGAGAGTGGACAGGATATCAAGGCACAGTCCAGGTATGGAGAGTATTTAGTACGGGGGCATGGAAGTGGCATCGCTGTTTTTTGCAGATGACGTCCTCTTTGCCTCGTCAGTCTGTGATCTCCAGCGTGCACTGGAACAGTTTGATGCTGAGTGTGAAGTGGCTGGGATGAGGATCAGCACTTCCAAATCTGAAGTCATGGTTCACTCTCGGGAGACGTTGGGTTATCTCTCCCTGTGAGGGAGGAAAAGCTGCCCTTTGTGAAGAAGTTAAAGTTATTCATAATAAAGGTTTTTGGGTTAGATCACGTTAGTTATAAATGTGTCATAACCCTCCACCACCCGACACGACCAAACAGTAAAAATGTGTCACGTTTACAAAGGACAGACTCCCGTTCCTAGATATTTTACTGGGACATGGTCTAAATGGCAAAATAACACACAGCATTTACCAAAAGCAAACGCACACTGATGCCTATCTGAATGCAGATTCACATCATCACCCAGCTCAGAAATCATCTCTTATCAAGGCACGCATACATTGGGCTAAAACAGTGTTAGATGGTGAAAGTCTAGTGGGAGAAATTAAACATGTTAAAGACGTACTAAGACAGAATGGCTACAATAATGCTCAAATTAACAGAACACTGAATGCCAAATCACAAACGCAAAGCAACACTGCTGAAAGCGATAAGATTGTTCAAACAATTATAATAGCATATATCTCAGGAGTAACTGACAAATTAGCCCGTGTTTAGCAAACGCAAAACATTAAAGTAAGATTTTGTACAGTACACAATTCAAAAACTGGTATCTGGCACTACAGACGAATTGCCTAAATTATCAACAGAAGGTGTATATCGGATTAATTGTTTGTGTGGCAGATGCTATATTGGACAGACGGGACGTAACATCAACGTAAGACTAAAAGAACACCAATAAAATATGAAATGATCTCAAACACAACTGTCGGCAGTGGCAGAGCATGCTTGTCAACAAGGACACTCAATTGATTTTGATAACGTTGAAGTGTTGTGTAAAACTAATTATTACTGGCCAAGACTAATTCGAGAATCCATTGAAATTGAGAGAAATACAAATAACTTTAATCGCTCAGACAGCTACAGGCTTAGTGCGGCCTGGAAGCGTATTATTAAATGAATAAAATATATAATACAATTAAAATTCCTTATAAGGGAAACAAATATCAATGAATAACAATTGAATGATTACCATATATTATATTATTACAATACCCTCCCCCTCCCCACCTCAAATCACTGCACCTGAATGAATTAAATGATGACGTCACCCTGCTGCTGCTCTATTTAAGACCGGGAGCAAGAGAGCCTCACCATTCTGGCAAATTGCCGGATGAAGCTGGATGGAATTACCAGCGTCGTACTCAAATTTTTTATTATGTTGATTCACTCTTCAACACACCAGTGGGCTAAAGTAATGAATATTTGTCCTTTGTAAATGTGACTTTTTTTTACTGTTTGGCCATGTCGGGTGGTGGAGGATTACGACACATTTATAAATAACGCGATCTAACCCAAAAACCTTTATTATGAATAATATTGGTTGCGAAAGCCTACGTGTTAAACTAAGTTAAAATAACTCGGGGTTTCTATCCCAAGTGATGGCCATTGGGAGCAGGAGATTGGAAGGTGGATCGGTGCGGCATCCGCAGTGTTGCAGGCACTGTATCGTTCCATGGTAGTGAAGCGGGAGGTGAGTTCTAGAACAAAGCTGTTGCTTTACAGGTCAATCTACGTTCCCACCCTCACCTATTGTCATGAGCTTTGGGTGATGACCGAAAGGATGAGATCGCGGGTACAAGGGACCAAAATGAGGTTTCTCCGCAGGGTTGCCGGGCCCTCTCCGTGGGTGAGGAGCTCGATAATCTTGGAAAGCCTCAGAATGGGGCTGCTGCTCCTCCGGATCGAGAGGAGCCAGTTGAGGTAGTTTGGGCACGTGGTAAGGATGCCCCTCAGTAGACTCCCCCTGGAACTCTCCTGGGAATGTTTCACTGGTTAAATACTTGGGCTGACCCCAGGACATGTTTGTGGGACTATGTCACTCGGCTGGCCTGGGAACACCTGGAAATTCCCCAGAAAATGCTAGAGTCTGTCACTAGGGAAAGGGAGGTCTGGACCGCCCTACTCAACATTCTGCCGCTGCGACCTTCACCAAGACAAGTGGATTGAGAAACGAATGATGAGCAAACTCATGCAAACAGGCTCCTAGCAATATCGTTTAAGATATATCAAAAGTAGATTCAATTACGTAATTATCTGAATCATTAAAATGTACTACATCAAAGAGTTAATCACTAATACATCATGATTCGTGTATATTTAAGTTAAAATGTTTTAAAAAATAATTGGCTCTACGTTGTGCTGCTTTAGAGGTAGGTGCGTGTCCATTGCACTCTCTTTATAGCCGCATCTCTTGTGTTAATCTAGCATTCAACAGCCGATTTCCTGTCGTATTTATCGTCATCTTCACTCGTTTAATGTCTAACTTATAATCAATACAATCGTTGCTCCATTCTGCTTTATTTGATCTAATCCATTGCAAATCATTCGAGTTATCTTGCGACGTGTTTTGAAGTCTCACGGGAGATAAAACTTTTGTGTAAAACGTTGCATTAACAAAATTACGTTTCAATCACCCGTAACTATAATAAGCAATGTCCTGCACAGTTATTACACATGACTCAAGCCTAACAGAGTTCACTTGAATCTCAGGAGTTAACCTAAGGGAGAGTCACAGACTCC